ACAATACTAAGTCTCCTTCTGGAGGTTCTTTTATTATAATTTAAAAAAAAACAATCACTACCAATATTCAGAAAAAAAAATACAAAATTTGCAGGTGGCAGAGTTGATTGCCCATAAAACCGAGTCTAGTAAAAACCAAAAATCATTTTGACTTTTTTTGTGTGTGTGCTGAGGATTGAACTCAGGACTGTGTGATTGTGAGGCAGGCGCAGTGCCACTGAGCTAAATCCATGGCCCAAAACTATCACAATTCTTAACATAAATTTTTAAATAAAAGGAACACAGGCAAGACATGAATTAACAAGTTATGTTGTTTAGCCACGAAGCACAGGTTTAAAGATGTTCAACTCATTATTAAGTAGGAAGGATATTAAGACTTGGGGATTACAAGGAACTATTTCACTGTTTGAAGACATTGTAAACTGGCACCACAATGATACTCTCCACTTTTATGACAACTTATTTGATGAGGCTGAAAGTGAATGCAAACTGAGAGAGAATAATCTCACTCTTTGATGAATACAGTGAAGTCCCAACGTAAGAACATTCAAGTTGTGAACTTTCACAGGTGTGCTGTGTAAGACTCACTTTGTCAGCTTATGAATGAATCTGACTTAGAAACAATTCTCCCAGAACAGAACTTAAGTTGGAAACTTTTTGTATCTTAGAAAAACTCTTGCCATTTATAGCAAGAAGCACAGATACTATATAAGGCATTTTTCACAGTGAGAAACTGTATGTAACCCAAATATTGATCAGTAAAAGATTTATGTATATGTACACTGTATATATAGGTAGGGCTAGTGGGTTTTCCAGTCCATTGAAAAGCACCTGTGCGTGTGTGTATATGTGTGTGTGGTACTGAGTCTAATGTGAGGCATCACTTGCATGTGAGGCAAGTACTCTACCACTGAGTGACACCACCAACCCATAAAAAGCACGACTTTAAGTTCAAAAAAAGCAAGCACCTTGTTGCATAGCATATGGTCACTTTCTTTGCCATAAAAGTAACCATATATCTGCCATGGTGCTGCAATTTCAATCCTTGAAGTTTTTCTTTTTTTGGGGGGGAGCGTTGTTTTCTTTTATTTTTTTGAGCCAGGGTCTCACTATGTACTTGAGAATGACCTGGAACTCACTATGTAGCCCAGGCTGGTCTCGAACTCACAGTAATCCTCCTGCCTCAGGCTCCCAAGTGCTGGGATTACAGGCATATGCCACCACGCCCAGCCCTTGAAGTTTTTCTTATGGCAGCATCCAGCATCAGCCAAAGCAGAACATCTGTACGAGAAAATAAGAGGGCTAGAGATGTAGCCCAGAATTAGAGCACTTACCTAGGGCCTAGCATGCATAAAGCTTTGAGTTTGATGTCCAGCACATACACAAAAAGGAATCAGAAGTTCTAAAAAAAGGAATCATAGAGTTCTACAGCCATGTCTAAAAGTCTGCAATACACTGGTTTAGATAAAACATGCTTAGTCTTTTGATAGGCACTTGATGTGATTTTTCTCCCCAACAAATATAGTATGCAGAGCTCCCATGCTTGTTTGACAAGAACATTTACTTCAAGTACCACTAAGTATTGGTGTTCCACAGAACTTAGTTTTAGAAAAGGTGAATAAAGGGATTGTCCCCAAGAGGCCCCTGTTAACATAAAAATATTACCTGAGAAGAAACACAGTGCCCTATTAGCAAAAACTAATTTTAATGCAGCACTTGAAATATTCTTTGTGTTCTATTTTACTGTTTACAGATGAAAAACAATTTGAAATCTTGAATGTGAAAGCTGTATTATTGTAATGATGAATAACTAATTACTGACAACAGCCCAATCTGATAAATTGACTTGGAGGTATAAATCTTTTTTTTTTTTTTTTTTTTGGTACCAGGGATCGAACTCAGGTCCTTGCACTTGCGAGGCAGGCAGCGGAACCACTGAGCTAAATCCCCAGCCCCATAAATCTTAACATATGATTTCAGCAGCGCTATAGAAGTTTGGTTGAAATTGATGAACTGTGGTAAAACTTTTTAATTTTGTTGAAGGTGCAATGGCATAAATGTTTCCCCCAGGGTTCATGTGTTAGAACCTGATACCCAGTGGGATCTTTAAGTGGGGGTACCCATGGTGGGCATGGAGACATCGGTAATTTCAGTACTGTACTTTGGGAGGTAGACACAGGAGAATTCCAAGTTTGAGCCCAGCCTGGGTGACTTAATGACTGAGCAAGACTCTGTCTCACAATAAAAAATAGAAAAATAGCTGGGAAAATAGTTCAGTGCAAAGACCCTGGGTTCACTCCACTACTGAAGAAAAAAAAAAAAAGGAGGTGATTAGATCATGAAGGCTCTGCCTTCATCAGTGGATTAATGCTATTGTATAGTTATATCTTAGGATTCAACTGCTTTGAAACTCACTAAATTTGGTACTGATGCATTCTGATGTAAAAACTTTGTTTCAATATTCATACTTTGGTGCTCAACATGCAAGCTAGAACTTCTGCTATTGATTGCCTTGTAACCTGCTACTCTCCAGTTCAGTTTGGTTCTCCTTGCTTTTGGTACAGGTTGTACCATTTGAAACCAATTAATGAGCACTGAGGTACCACTGCATTTGATTTATATGTCTCTTAAATCTTTAATATATAGGGTTATGGTTTTAACTTTCTTGATAATTAGTTAGGAAATGAGGGCATTAGGTCAGTAAAATTTCCCATATTTTGGATGTTGCTGTTTGCTTCTTTGTGTCATTAATTTTTCTTAATTCTGCATCTTTCCTGTTAACTGATAATTAGATTCAGGGATTAAATTACAACTTCGGATCAATACTTTTTGGCAGGAGATGCTCTGTACACTGATTGCATCACAAAATGAAGTGTAGAGTCTGGCTGATCTAATTTAGGGATGTTAATATAGATTACTGGATACTATCACTCTGCTTCATTCATTATAAGCTTCCTATCAATCTTTCATCTATGGTCTTGGACTCCATTAGCACCATCATTAAGATCCATAACTTTATAAATTTATTTACTTTTTTGTTTTATTTTTTGGTACTGGGGATCAAACTCGGGCCCCTGTACTTGCAAGGTAGGTGGCAGAACCAAATCCTAGCCCCTCTTTAAAAAGTGTAATTTTCAAATTACATTACTCCTTTCACCTTTACTTGCTGGTATGCTCTAATAGAGAATTTTAAACAAATTTTGGTTGTTTTGAAATATAGAAGGCAAGATAAATGCTCTATTCTTTCCCTCTATGTATCAATAATGCCAAAGTCTGTTTCATAGCTGATTAATATATTGGTTAAAAAACAAAGATGCAGTAGCTATAGTGGTTATGATAAAAGGACACAATATAGATGCCAATGAGGTTATTCCCATCAGCCAAAGATAGAACAATTCAGTTTTTTAAAAAAAGCTACAATGCAGTGGTTTTAAAAAGATAATATGGGACTTATAATACCTGATTTTTAATTTCCAAATAGTTTATTTTTAAGTTATATTTTGTTAATTTTTAACCAAACATTGACTAGGACTAGACAATATATACTGAGGAATATATGTCTTTTAATTAAGAAATTGAAAAAGTCTTTCACACTTTCAATATTTTAATGAGAATATGATTCTGAAGTTCAATAAGCAATAATTATTGGTGGAAGGCATGTCTATATTCATTACACCTGTGGTCTTCCACACGAATTCTCTAAAATGTAACATTAAGAATAATAAAACAAAATGTACTTGCCTAAAAAACATTTTATTATTATTTTATGACCATATCAGGAACTTGGGCAGAGACAACTGGCTGAATTGTCTTTTTTTTTTTTTTTTTTTTTTTTTTTTGGTGCAAAATTTTTTTATTTAAAAAA